CTAAACCCACGCTAACTGTTTCTCACCCATACGTGTAACACCTGGGCACACGCATAGATGAGAACGCAGTAAGTATGGGGGGGAGAAACGGGAGATTAGTATATTAGAAGCTGAAAATCCTGATCTAAAAAATATGATTAAAACATAAACACATAAATACATTTGTATAAAAATTCATCTAAGCGACTAAGGACTCTACAAGTCATTTGGTGAATAATGACTTAAACAAGCGAATGAAAAAAAAAAGTTACCCCATATGAAACAATTATAGTTTCGAGGTAAAGATGTATTAAAAGACTCTACAATRATGATGGATATTTTTTGCAAACCTCGGACGACTCCTTTCATTAAGTTGGCTGTTCTAATGAAAGAACTGGGCTTTGAGCCGCCACTTAACTGCCAAAGTCTATCCGTCGCGAATGAGTTTGTCTTCTTGCTCATTTATTTAAAATATCGAAATATCGACATATCAAAATTAATCTCAATGAAATAAACTATGTACGAAGCAATGCATGTAAGACATTTATTACATGCTTTTCTGGACGAAAATGAGTAAATTAATGTTCGATTTCATCACTACTGACCATGAACAAAACACGTAATAAAAAAGAGAGTGCATTYATTAATTGCATTATTAATTAAATGAATTTAACCGATGAGACAAGAAAACCTATCCTGAACTAATAATAAAACATAGAATAAAATATACAATTTTCATGAGTAACTCCTAAAAAGGAATTACTCATGTGCTCGTCAATAATTTATTTAAATAATTACAACCAGTAACTCGTGCCGATTTGGATCTTTCATCCTCGGCATGATTGAGCACTGGAGGGACTTTAAATAAAAACTCACGGTTTAAGAAGTTCTGCGATGGCTCCAAAACACTCCTATTTCGCAGCAAGTATTGCAGTCTGACGATGGAAGACGATACTTGATTTGCCATTGAAGAAGATCCATCAAAGATCCATCGAAGAATTCATCCAACATCTTTGAAAGGAAGAGAATCCATGGTTATATCTGTAAAATAAAATAGTACAAAACGATAAGTTATCTGAAATATTATCCAAAATCATATAAAATAAAATCGAATAAAATATAAATAAAAATGAATACTTACAATGCATTCCAATGGGACAGAGCTCAATGGCATCACAGTGATGCACACCTCACGTGAATCTAATAACGCGATATAAACGAAAATAAGAAACTATAGATGAGTTTCTTATCGCGAAACCGAAATTTTATTATACGACGAACAACACTGACTCTAATTCGCGTTTGATTTTAATTTATTACTCGCCCGATCACTGATTCTAAACTGCACTAATTCAAAGACTGCATTGCTCGCAGTCAATTGCAAGAACAAAAATTTCACTCCCGGTCACTTCACATAGGTCATTCGTACATGATTGCAATCTGAAACTGAAATAAAAAACAATACTATTAATAACATTACTATTACAAAAAAACCATTAAAATTTTTGAGGAATTATTTAATACAAAAATATACTTACTTTAAATCTTTATTGATGAATGCATAATGGGTCTCCTATCCTTAGGATGATGATGACAATCACAAATAATGACTATAAAACTGCATTACATGAAATTAATTCAATTAACACTAGATTTATGGACTGAGCAAATGTGATTCATTTTAAACTTTTTTGTTACACATATATAAAATAGAAATATTTTAATTAATTGTAATTTAATAAAATTTAAATTTAATTAATTTTAAAGTAGAATATTTTTTAAAAATATATGTTAATTTTTAATGCTGTAATAAAATATACATAAATATTAATTCCTCTCCTCTAACCACTTTTTCATTTAAACAATGTTTGTAAATTAAAAAATAGTGAATAAAACAGTAGTGAACAAATCTAGTGTTAAACGAATTTCTAAATAAATTTAATTAATAAAATGTGAATACCATTCCAACGATGATCTGAAACACAAATAAAAACAAAATTATATAAATCTTTGTTATATAAAAATTACTATAGTTATTGAGAAAATGTACAATATAAAAATTGACTTACGTTTATTCTTCATTGATGAATGCACGATGGGTCTCCTACCCTTAGGATGACGGTGAACATACGTTTAAACCGAATAAAAGAAACTTGCGAGCTTCTTAACCGAGCAGACGAAACTTTAACATGCGACGATTAATACTGAATCTACTTTTGTCGACTTTTTTATATTTTATTTTAACACGATGCAACACACGAATATTTCATTGCCTACGCGCACGATTGCAATGATCTGAAACAGAAAAAGAAAAAGAACAATTAATGTCATTGTCGTAACAAAAACCTATTGAAATTATCATAGAAATGTTTGATAATAAAACATACTTACTTTTAATCTTGACTGATGACTGCAGGATGGGTATCCTACCCTTACGATGACGACGTATAAAATAAAATAAAATAAAAAGTCTGAAAAGCTGAAACATACTAAAGATTATATTACAATATTTCCTATAAATCATTTCTGAAGGCAGAACACACACGTTATAAGATACTATATTATAAAGAATCAATGTTAAATATAACTCAATAAAGTGTAACCTAA